TTTATCAAAGATTTGAAGATGAAACAACGTGCAAACTTGATAATGACTGAACAATTGTAAGCTGGATTTGTAAAACTGAAGAAACGTGTTAAATATGAATTTTTCGACGAAAAATTATAACAACTAATCTCGACTTTTCATTTGATAACAAGAGACTTATACTTTAAATAAGAAAGAATTCTTTTCAATTTTTAATGTGAATATGAACTTATTTAAATACAATTTTTTCTTATATTTATTTAATTTCTATCTTATATCAGACTCAAATATCAGAGACTTATTTGTCGCTGTACCTTCATCACTTTTTCCCCATATATTAATCAGAAAGAGTTAGGCGTTTATTTAAAAAAAAAAGAAAAACAACGACTATATATTAAAAATATACAGTCAGATATATCACAGATAAATCCATATTGAAAGGGAACAATCTGTTTCTTTTGTTGTTGTTATAAAAAAAAAATATGAAAATTACGACACAAAAGAACAAGAAATACAATTGATCAAAACATTCGATTTTCTTTTTTTTTTAAAATTAATCGTTTATCAAGTTTAATTCAAGCGGTAGACCAACGTTTTTGAAACCATTTATCAAATCGATTGTTAAATACTCTCTCTTTAAGACCTTTGCCAAAATTACGAATACAAATACAAGCGATAATCATTGATAATAAATGAGTAAGAATATTTGCCACTATACACACATAAAGTGCTTTGGGTACAGGTACAAGACCTTTTGGTGTTGAAGTTGAAATAGTAGTAAATATTGTAGTTGTAATATCTGGATTAACAGCTTTTGTTGTTGATATAGATGAAAAAATTGTTGAAATAGTAGACGTTGTTGTTATTGTTGTGTGTGTCGTTGTCGTGGACGAAGATGTTGCTGAATTGTCGATAGCCTGTTAGTTTTTTTGTATAAGTTTTTTTTTTTACTTAATTTGAAAGAGACAAAAATCTTACACTATATAAAGAGTAACCTAGAAATCCAGGTTGAAATAATGAAATGAAATAGAAAACACCAACTAATATAAAATTTTCAAGACGAACCTAAATATTAAAAGAATTATAATTAAATTTTTTTTTCGTTTATAATAATCAATATAAAAATGAACATGTATTTTACCATGCCAATACCAATACCGAACCATAATAATGACAAAGGAATACCAATACTAAGGAAAATTGTATCAAATGCTTCAAAATGATTAAAATTGTATAAATTAAGGACGAATGTTGACATCTCAAAAAAAAAATTACATAGATAGTTTCAAATATAATTCATCAAGGAAAACTTACTGAAAGCATTGTATTAATACCTGCTAGACAATCAAATATATTGTATATTTTAAGCGGACGACGTGCTGCGGGAAAAGCACCGAAAAGTCTTTGAAAAAAATCGCAAATAATTATAATTAGTGAATTTCAGTCCTTTATATAAGTATAAATATACCGTTTAGAAAATTCATCTCGTCTATAATCTCTAATAACTAATATTGCCAATGGAATAAAACATATATTAAAAATAATCGTCAAAATAAGACGAATCTAGAAATCAAAAAAAAAAATAATAATAAATTTACAAACTATTTCAAATACTTACAAGACGAATTGTTGCAGCTTTACCATGACTATCAGTTTCTTTGCTTCGAGCAGCATAATGTACAATCACATATATAGTAAGCATAACAGCACTGATAAAAAAAGCCACGATATGAGTAATACGTTGATAGAAAATACCGATAATAAGAAATAAGAGAAGAAATACTATTAACAAAAAAAAAATTAAGTTTATTTACGTTTTATGAGTTTTTTTTTTCTAAATTAATACTTGAATTAACTAAAATAAGTATGGCATAAGCAAAATCAGGATCTTTGGTATCATGAATATCAGTCAGACGAATAATGGTTAAAGTGTCTGTAGCTATTGCGGCCAATATACCGACAGTCAAGAAAATAATTTCATATCGACTTATATTTACCCAACCACGATGCTTAAATAATAAGATAATTAAAGATATATAATAAATAAAATCAAAACTGATTTTATTACTGTTCCAAGGAAACCACTTTCTTCAATAGCAGTTTCATCAGATGGTCGAAGACCACCAGGAAATCTTGGCGTTTCTTCATGCTAGAAAATATGAAAATAGAAAATCCGAATAATTTTATTTACTTGACTTACATCCATGTCTTACTAATTATTGATAAAACTTTGTTTTATTTTTTGAATAAAACAACAACAACAACAACAATCAAACCTCTTATTTTATCTTTTGACTAATAGGACTATAAAGAATAACGAATCATGAAGATGGAGGACGAACAAATAGAAGTATAGTATGTATCATGTTATCTTTTTCGATGTCAGGAATAAAAAAAGAGTCAAATACGTGCCGCGGTAGTCTAAAAAAACATACGTAAAAAGTTACAAAGCAAAAACAATACATAGATTTCTTTTTTTTTTGCATTCATTTAAACCACAACAACAAAAACTATTCATTAATCTGTTAGTCTGTAATATTATTAAAAGAACTTAAGAAAGAGATAATCAATACAAATGACATGGAATTAGGGCAAGTTTTAGATTTTCATATTCCATAGTATCATTTTTTCCTGTAACATATAGTTCGAACTTATACTAGCTCAGTTTACGAACAGATCTCAATATGTCCGTATTAATTGAGATAGAAAACAACAAAATAATAAGATTAGTTACTATTTTTTCGTATTTTTGCCAGTAATTCAAATACAGTTAGTTACAAATTGATAGTCAGGCTATCTGCTCAGCTTGAAATCAATGTATTATTTTATTTCAGATCATTAAAAAATTTTAACATGTTTTAACGAGAATATCACAAAGAATGTTTATTCCCTACAAGTTGAAAACTATAATATATGTATATAATGAAAATAAGAACCAATATGTCACCATTCGAAAGTCCACTTGTTTTTCTGTAATAGAACATTCCTCTTTCATGTATAAATTATAGGATTAAAGAATAATCTATAGTAGTATTTCATAACAATTAGTTATTTTTTTGTAGTCGATATCCCTTTTTTTTTTTCTAAAACTTCTTTCAAGATTTTTGTTATCAACGAATCAAAAAAAGCTGTCTTTG